CTTGAATCTGTTTCTATTTTGCACATGTCAACAGGTATTACAAAGATTAAAAGAAAAAATTAGTTATTCTCCAAATGCTAAACATGCCATAGCAAGAAGGACTCAGATATTGGAAGGAAATTATTATTGATTTTTAATCAATCAAAATTCATTGACTACCTACTGTGTATGCTCTGTGTTTAGTTCTGAGGACTCAAAGGTCCATAATAAGATCTCTTTTCCAGTGACTTCACACTGATAAAGAATTGTTACCCTGGTGGCACAGGGTTAGGGTGCAGCACTGTGAAGCTGCCTGCAGCCATTGCATGGATCCTGACCAGGGAGGTGCCCCACATGGTGCAGTGGACCTCTCCTGTCCTGCCCACTGCTCCCCTCAGCAGTGTATTGCAGTCAATCTGCCTATCCTCCTCCCCACTCTATCTCTGATGAATCCTCGCACCCCCTGCATGTCTGGCCTGTACCCCAGGTCATCTATGCATAAATAAATAAATCTTTTTTAAAAAAGGAATGGTTACTCAAATGACAGGTGTTATAATAAAGAGAGAGAGAAAGAAAGTATAGTGGGGACAAGGAAGGGGGCCTTAATACTCCCTTGCTTAAGGCCCTCTGCAGCATGCTACTGCACATGGAATAAAATCTAAACTCTGGGCCCTCCCTGGTGGTGCAGCGGGTTAAAGCACAGCACTAAGAAGCTTAAGTCTCTGCAGCATGAATTCGATCCCCAACTGCCCCGGAGGTGACCACATGGTGCTGCAGACCTCTCCTGACTGCTGCTCCCCTCAGCAGTATGCTTTGTCAATCTGCCTGTTCTGCTCCCCAATCTGTCTCAGTGAATCTTCTCACCACCCTGCACCTCTGGCCTGTACCCCATTTCTCTATGTATAAATTAATAAATCTTTAAAAAAAATCTAAACTCTTTGGCAGGATATACCAGGTCCTGACCTGTGGGCCCCTCCTGTCTCTGTCTTCATCTCCCACATCACCCCTTAATCACTCATTCCTGCCCACAAACATTATTTCTGTCCTCATATAGAGAAAATCCCTTCTGATCTCAAGGCCCTGCCCTCAAATCTTTACTTGTATGCCTTTTTATGATTCAGTCCTAGCTCAAGTATCACCTTCTCTGGCCACTGTCTGCAGAAATCCTTGACTTCAGTCAGGTTTAGCATATGCCTGAGCATTCCCATTTCTAGGTATTTACTTGAAAAATGTAAAAATACAAATTCAGAGGGATATGTGCTTCCTTACACTCACTGCAGCACTATTTGCAATAGCTAAGTTATGGAAACAACCTATGTTCTCAATGACAGATGAGAAGATAAGAAATTAGGAAGATTTGTGCATATACACAATGGAGTACTACTCAGCAATAAAACAAAAAAAGATGAACACTTAGCATTTGTGATACTATGGATGGACCTAAAGGGAATAAGAAAACTAACAGAATTAAGTCAGGAGACATAAATGCTGAGTGGTTTTTATGTGGAATATAGAGAAATAAAAACAAAGACCAGACAAAACCAAACAAATAACAAACGCTGGAAATATGACTGTAGAATTGAGGTTACCAGAGAGGAAGTGGAAGGAGTGTAGATGTAGAGGGACCCAATGAACTAGGAAGAAGGCAGGGGATGCCTTGGTGATAGGATTGTATGGTAATGGGCATCTAAAGAGATGTGAACCTGTACCTCTGAATCACAAACAGTGGTGGAAGGAAGAAAGGGAGGGAGGGAGGGTAGGAAGGAAGGGCAGTAGGTAGAGAAAGAGGGAGGGAAGCAGGGAGGAAGGAAGGATGCTCTTCTTAGATTAATGACTACATAAGTTATTATATGGAAAATGTCCTTAATGCCTGTTACGTTAGTTAAGCCTCACACTATATACTCAAGGGGAATCACTGAGGAACCTGAGAAATAGGGTTATGGGATCGATATTTGTGTTTTTAAAAGATCTTCCTGATGGCCACTGGGGAGGATGCATTGGAGGGGACTGAGAAATTAGGCAAAAGAACAGTTGTACAGAGATGAAGAACCACAGGAGAATAGACAGTGGCAGTGATGCACTGATGATGCAAGAATTAAGACTATGGACTTGTCATCAGTTTAGAGAAGGAGGTGAGGGAATGAGAAAGCCAGTAATAGTTCCTGAACTGGAGGTGTTGGAAATTGGGTAGCTGTTGGCGGGACGCTGGGTTTGGAAGCTAAGATGTGGAGAGGCATGGTTTGCTCAGCTGCTGCAAGTTGAGTTTGAGTGATGTAGGACCTCCAGGGGAAGCAACCTACCAAACACCCCGCATCTTTCTGTATAACAATATGAGGTTAACATGCTCAGCACTGTACATATTGCTACTTAACATTAGTGCTTAATATTTAATGTTTATGATGTTCCTAATTAACATGTTGCCAGAACTATAATCCATACTATATTCTTGAAGCCAGGAATGTTGAAGGAAACATAAATATCCATTCACAAATCTTTCTCCTATTGGGGGATGGGTATAAGAAGAGAGTGTACTTTGTGACTAAAAAGTTCCACTGTATGAAAACTTCATTATTTGAAAAATGTACACACTCCACACCCCAAAGAAATGATTTCTTGTAACTTTTTAACCATGACCTAGTGTCTGTGTCTTTATCAGAATCCCATTTCCCTTGAATCAATAAATGTTCTACATAAAGTCATCATTCACTTATCAGGTATGACTTTAATCCAGAATAAACTTTCTTTTGAATATTTATCCCAATACATTTTCATCAAACTAAAAGAGAAATATTGTTATAGAAGCTAGGGCCAGTTCTGCATGTGGCTGTCATGAAGTATTAGCCTCAGGGCACTTAGGATGGCTGTAACTGTTTCCATCACTGACCATACACAGCTGACACTGCAGGGTAGCAGCACACTGAGACGTGATGGACATGTTTGGTGTCTTCTGTTAACCTTTGCTTTGTGTCTGTTGGCTTTAGATTTCTGTATTAATGTGGTTTCTACCTGTCATCTTTTTTAAAGAGTACTTAGAAAGGAAATTTTGGTAACTGTGCTTGTCCATCTGTTTTATTTAATGAAATATTTCATTTGTACTTTCCATGATCTACTAGAGGTCATTTAATCCAGGGAGCCCTCCGTTTCAGCAGGTGCCCCTGCTATCTAGAATATTAACCATCCATCAGTGTCTGAACGGAGATCTACACTTACTTCTGGAAAACATTCTTAGACCTACTCCACTTTACTGTTTTCAGGAGTTAATGAGAGGGGTCCACATCCACAGTTTTTCAAAGGAGGCTGTGATTGACTTGTATGAGATGAGACTCTTGTCGAATAGGGAAACAATAAGGATTGATCGCCTCATGTAAGCCATAAATTATTTTGTAGTATGTGTCAGTCTGAGTGGCTTCATTGAGGAATAGGTGAAATAAAGTACTTCTGCTTAGGGGAACTTGGTAGGTCCTAAGTGACCTCCTTTACTGCTTAGACTCTCCTAATTGAAGGAAATTGCTCCGGTTGTGGTAGGGAGCTAAGTACAATATAATGCATCCCAATATAAGTCCATCAGATGTTCCTATCCATCTTGGAACTTTCCACTATTACATTGAAGAGCTCACTTTCCATCCATTTGTTCACTTGTAACATGGGCTCTCCAAATGAATGCTGAACCCATGTATCAATGGTGACTTGAAATCCTAGGGGTTCTGCCTGGTTTTTTGTTGTTGTTGTTCTTTACATCCTTTGTGTTTATTCCTGTATCCCCTCAGATTATGCAATGGAGCTGTTCTGTGAGTTTTATAATTAAATAGAATTGGGAGAGGCTAAAATCATATCTCTCTCTAGCTACAAGATTCTTCAGAAATAGGTAGAAACTACATAAAATATTGAGAAATTAACCATGACATTTCCAGCTATAATGGTTATTCACAGAATTTTAGCTGCAGAGTATATGGGGGAAGTGAGTATTAGTATCAGCTAGTGTGTGCTGAGTGTATTTTTCAGAACACTGGCCTCTAGAAAAAGTGTTTCCAGTTAAACAAGTTTGGGAAGCCCTGCATCCTGTACCTGCTGTCTTTGAATTTTCACAATGTAAAGCCAACTCAGGGCCCTTCCTGGTGGTGCAACAGGTTAGGCCGCAGCACTGCAAGCTAGCCACAGCCACTTCAGTGCAAGTTTGATCCCTGGCCCCAGAGGTGACCCACATGGCATGGCAGACCTCTCCCGTCAACAGTGTACTTCATTGATCTGGCTGTTCTGCTCCCCACTCTGTCTCTGGTAAATCCTCTCACTGCCCCTGAATTTCTGGCCTGTATCCCAATTCTATATGCTTAAATAAGTAGACCTTAAAAAAAAAAAAGGAAAGAAAGAAAAGCCAACTCTAAGAGAGCATGTCCAAGCTTCTTTGACCAGAGTCCTTATTCCCTGTGTAATAGTTAATGTTCTTCTACAGGAAATGAGTCCAACCTCATCAAGGAGGCCCAAAATGGGAAGCCACTGGAGACAGTAACAGCCAGTAATGCCAGGACAAGCACCCATGGGGGGTTGGTAGCTTCCCTCAGGGTGGCTGCATTATCTGTATTGCCAGCAAGGGCTTCAAAACATTTCAAGATTATTTTTGTCCTTGAAATTTATTTAAAGAATCATTTCTAAAGTATCTACAATCCTGGTTTAATTTAGAGAGATTTATCCCTTAGCAGATGGAAAATGTGTCAATTGGCCCATTCAATTTAGCAGCACTCTGTATTCATATGTAACAGAAATGGAACCTGAATAGTAAGCACGATGTGGAACAAAGTGCTCATGAAGGTGGGGAAGGGAGGAAGTCAGAAAGCAATTAAACAAGTAGAGTGTAATTACAAATTACGACGGGTGCTATGAAGACCATGATCTATGTGCTGTCAGATTGAGTTTAAATTTGCAACCATTTTTTAATTGGCCCAGATTCTAAGGTCATCTTGGTACCCGGACCCTGACTATAATCTGAACCTAATACCAGCCCCTTCCCCATTTTGTTTTTCCAGCCAGGTGGAGCAAAATGATAGCACAGTGAGCCAGCTGAGCCCTTCTCCAGCCTTCCCTGACGCCCACCATGAACCACTTGGAGGGGTCCGCGGAGGTGGAGGTGACGGACGAGGCAGCGGGCGGGGAGGTGAATGAGTCCGTGGAGGCCGACCTGGAGCACCCCGAAGTAGAGGAGGAGCAGCCGCAGCCACAGCTCCCGCACTATGCAGGCGGCCCCCCGCGCGGGCACGCCCAGGAGGACCTCCGGGGTGCGCAGTCACGGCAGCAGGAGGAGGAGGAACGCGGGGAGTGCCTGGCACGCTCCGCCAGCACCGAGAGCGGCTTCCACAATCACACGGACACCGCCGAGGGCGACGTGATAGCCGCGGCCCGCGACGGCTACGATGCAGAACGCGCCCAGGACCCGGAGGACGAGAGCGCCTACGCCGTTCAGTACCGGCCCGAGGCCGAGGAGTACACGGAGCAGGCGGAGGCCGAGCACGCCGAGGCCACTCAGCGCCGCGCGCTGCCCAACCACCTGCATTTCCACTCGCTGGAGCACGAGGAGGCCATGAACGCGGCCTACTCAGGCTACGTCTACACGCACCGGCTCTTCCACCGCGGCGAGGATGAGCCCTACGCGGAGCCCTATGCCGACTACGGGGGCCTCCAGGAGCACGTGTATGAAGAGATCGGGGATGCGCCGGAGCTGGAGGCACGCGACGGACTGCGCATGTATGAGCAGGAGCGCGACGAGGCGGCAGCCTACCGCCAAGAGGCCCTGGGCGCTCGGCTGCACCACTATGACGAGCGCTCGGATGGCGAGTCTGACAGTCCGGAGAAGGAGGCGGAGTTCGCACCCTACCCGCGCATGGACAGCTACGAGCAGGAGGAGGACATCGACCAGATCGTAGCTGAGGTTAAACAGAGCATGAGCTCGCAGAGCCTAGACAAGGCAGCAGAGGACATGCCCGAAGCCGAGCAGGACCTGGAGCGTGCCCCCACCCCAAGTGGGGTCCGGCCTGAGAGCCCTGGACCACAGGCCCCTGCAGGGCAGCAGCAGCGGGCAGTGGGCACCGCGGGCGGGGAGGCGGTGCAGCGGTATAGCAAGGAGAAGAGGGATGCTATCTCGCTGGCCATCAAGGATATCAAGGAGGCCATCGAGGAGGTGAAAACCAGGACCATCCGTTCGCCTTACACCCCCGACGACCCCAAAGAGCCCATCTGGGTCATGCGCCAGGACATTAGTCCCACCAGGGATGGTGACGACCGGCGGCCAGTGGATGGAGATGTAAGTATGTGTGGGTTGGGGCTTACTCTGTTCAACGCTCCAAGGGGTGATGCTGCTTGGGAGCAGTGTGTATCATTGCAAAATGACGTCCTGAGGTAAGTGTTCTGTGGGAATGCTGAGAACAATGTGTACCACCTTAGACTTAACGTGCGTCACCTTTGACTTCAGCTTGTGCTCCTGCCAGAGTGAGGGTTAGGTTGAAAAGGAATAAAGCCTCGAATGCTTATCAGGCTCTTGGACAGATTGGGTTCTCACCCTGTCCTGGAGTGCTAGTTATGAGCAATTTCTAGGTCCACCTCCTCACCCAGTGTCTCATTCAAAAGGTCTGGGATATGGCCTGAGATTTGTATTGCTAGCCTCAAATTAAAAACAAATAAATAAATAAAAAGTAAAGTGGGCCCTCCCTGGTGGCGCAGCAGGTTAAAGCACAGCACTAAGAAGCTAAAGCCACTTTAGCGTGAGTTCGATCCCCGCCCCGGAGGTGACCCACATGGCGCTGCAGACCTCTCCTGACCCGCCCGCTGCTCCCCTCAGCAGTGTACTTCGTCCATCTGCCTGTGCTGCGCGTCATTCTGTCTCTGGTGAAGCCACTCGCTGCTGCTAAGCCTCTGGTCTGTACCCCAGTTCTGTATGCATAAAATAAATGTTCTTTAAAAAAAAACTAAAAGCAAGTCCAAACTGAGTAAGGACTTTCTTGGAAAAGATTACTGTGAAGGGGACAAAAGTACTTGTCATAGGGGGAGCCTGACTGTTGCAATAGGAGAACCTTCTGGATAAAAGACCTGCAAGTCATGCTGGGATTAGACGAAAAGGGGCTTTCATTTAAAGAGGACTAAAAAAGGTATGCCAGGCAGGGTGAAAATTCACCTGAACGCACTATACTGAGAAACTTTGACCTGAGACCAGCCTCTTCTCAGGAGAGGCTATCTAGGGTTGTATGCTGGTCACAGTACAGGGACCTGGAGGAAGGAGAGAAGCTTAACTCTAGGTGATGAACAGAACTTTTATTCTGGTTAAGTAGCAGTTCAGCTAATAATTTGCAAGGTAGCAAAAGGGAATTTGGAGGACCTGTGTCTGGGCTTGCTGTAGGTTAACAAGGAGGGGCCCAAGAATCTTATGTATCAGTAGGTAATGGGTTTTGCAGTAAGCCCTTTAACAACAGAAAGATGGAGGCAAATTACCTTTATCATGACTGTTTTCCAGGCTCCCAGGGCTCAGGTGAGGTTCATATTATCTAACAAGTTCCCAGGTGATATTCATGTGGCTGATTCTGTACTGCAATTTGAGAGGCCTTTAAAGCAGCCCCTTATAAAAGATTTGGGGCGGGAAGTGTGGCTTCCTTGGAGAAAATTCTTCTGAACCTTTTCCTGCCACGGGTTTCTGCTGTTGGATCACCCACCTTGTGCTCTCACTGTGGTTTTCAGTAAGTGCTTAATTTTCACTTCTGTGAGACCAGGGTGGCCTTCTCATTTCAAAAAAGACAGGTTTTTGCTTCTAAACTGAATTATATTTCCTCGTGAAAAGCTACAAAAAGTTATTGCTGCCCCTGTCGACATTGTATTTTCCATTTTTGAAATATCTAAGAAATGTGATAACATGGCAAGCTGAGGTGCCACAATCTAATCAAAATAAATCAAGAAGACTCACCTTTGCCTTCACTGCCTTGTTATAAAATTCTGCTCAGGGGCTCCCTTTTCCATTATCTTGAATAATTTTTAAGCAGTTTTACTTAAAATGTGGGCGCTTGGAGTAAAAGAAGTGTCGGGGTTACATCCAGTTTCATTTAAGTTTGCATTTTATTACACCAGACTTTCTCAGTATATCGTTTGGAGTGGGAAACCATTATTTGAAGTTGTTTGTTCATTTTGCTTCTACGTAAAGGCCATGCATGTCATAAGAATTCACCTTCTCTTTTAGTAACTCTCCACATTTGGTAGTTGATTAAAATGCTGGCACTTTTAAGGTAAGATTGGCAACAGATCAGGAGAGACTCTGTACTCTTCCCTGCAAGGGGGCAGCGTTGGCTTAGTTGGGCCTTGTGTTCTGTTTTCCAGGCTTCACAGTCAGTTAAAAACAGCTGTGTTCATGTGCAGCATTGTCCTTGACCTTCAGCCAACTCCAGGTTCTTCCACTCTAGGGGGAAAAAGGGGTTGCAGCCAGCAGTTTGTAAATGAAGTGGAAATGGAGCAGGTTTTCAAAAGTAGGGAGCTGTCAAGAAGCTGGGTTCTGTATCTTGTTAGAAACTTGGAAAGCCATCAGAGAAAATACTGCAGGAGCTTCTGTCCAGATGCCAGCTTCCCTTTTCCAGTTTCTCACATGCACCAACTGCTGAAACAACTGCCTTTAGCCATATTGTCCCTGTGACCTTGAGATGAACCCACTGTGCAGTCCAGGAACTGTTGTTCCTATGAACTAAGAGAACAGCTCACCTCTGTTGTTTGACATTTCATTCAAAAGGAAAAATTCTAGAACATTGAATGATGTTTTAGAAAGCAAAACCCACAAACCAGTGTTTAAAAATATTCCACCAAGTCACTTTTAAGTCATTTAAATTTGCAAGTTGTTGTTTACCCTACCATATTTATGGACAAGACCTTCGTTGGCTCTCCCTTTGGTGGTGTTATGGTGGGGTTCAAGGGGGTATAAGTATATGTGTTCTCTTGATTTCCTCCTCTGTATCACACACTATTTACTGGATGCTTGGCCCATGTGTGACATTGCAGAATATAGGGGGAAAGCACTGTCTGATTCACTGTGGGCTAAAATCTGTTCAGAAGGTACTTGTTAAAAATATAAATTACTGCTTTCCTTTCCAATCAGTGTTCTGGGTTGGGGGGAGAGGAGTTTGTTTGGTTTGGTTTATTTCATCTTGTAAACTTTCTCTGTGATTCTAAAGTGTGTTTTAAAAAAAAACATAGTTCAAGAAAAAAATGTATCTGCAGTTTCCTGTGTGAATTTTAGACTTAACTAAATACAGTTTTATCAGCACAGATACAGTTTTAATAAAAGGAACTGTCCCGTGGTGGCCGTGGTCAGCAGTCCTAGAGAAGTAGCCCTGGAATTCTTTCTGCAAAAGCAATGCACTCTCTCTCCAGAAGTCATGATTGAAGCCACAACAGGGCAGGCAGGAGATAGAGAACATCTGTATCGCCGCTTGCCAGAGATTGTGGCTGATGGCTAACTGCCATTACCATCACTTTCATTCCCAAACTTGAGCTTTTTCCCCCTCACTTGAAGCAAACTGGCATTTGTGTGCTGGTAAATTGTGCAGAATGAGCAGGTAGGGCTGCTCCCCAGGAGGAACTCATGATATGCAAGACGCTCAGCCCTGAGTGTAAGAATTGTTTTCTGATGTCTTGAAAAAGTGCTTTGTTTCCAATAGAGTTTCTCTTTTCCAGCTATGTTTGAAAGCCACCTCCCAGCCCCCTTCTTGAAATCTATTGTCAGTGAATGGTCAGCTCTGAAAAGGTGCATGGCCTCCTGTGCTCCCTCTAGGGGACCACGTGGCTTTGAGAGCAGCATCCTGGAAGAGACAGAGATGCTGGTTGTAGGCACACAGCATACGTGGAGGGCTTGGGCTGCTCTGAGTGGTGTGTTGAGCAGCTTGAAATGGTGGTGATCACTCCTCAAGCTTCACTAAAATGACAGGAAAAAAGAGAGCCACAGGCACCCAGACAAAAGAAACAGCAGATGAGAACAATAAAATTGTGGAGCACCAAAGTGATGCCTGGCTGTGTTAGATATTAGTGCTCCCCAAAATTTCCAGGTGTGCTTTTTTTTTTCAAGCACAGGGAGGACTGCACTGCACTGCCTTCTCCCCTGGAGGTTAGACATGACTGATGAAATGGAAACAATGAAGTGTGTGGCGATTTCGAGGTGGGCAAAGCTACGTTGCACCTTCCTTTAATACCTCACATTAAGGTGGCTGTATAATGAGATAGCAGAGCCTCTGAGTGTGGGTCCCAGGTGACCCGGATGGACATGTACCCTGAGAGAAGAGTCAGCCTTTGTTATTTAAGCCTTGGGGATTTGGAATGGTTTGTTAACACAGCATAATTGGATTAATTCTGAAATCACATTAATGAAGTTTCCATTTTCTGTGGCTGTGATAAATTGTGCAGTGCCCCCCCCCAAATGGCTCAGGAAGGAATTTGAGACACCAGATACTTCAGATAGCAGGAGTATGGGAGTAGAACAGGAAAAAAAAATGAAAGTCTGTTACAAGAGACATAGATTTCAGATCCTTTCTCTAGCCCACACCACCAGGTTACTACTTCCCTCCTCCATTTAAAAAAAAAAAAAAAAGGATTTATTATAAGCAGAGCAGCACTGGAACTGGGACACCAGCCAGAGCTGAAGTGGGAATGAGGCACCTTCCAGGGTACAACGTCTACGAGGCAGTAGTAGCTGAGTAGAACAGAGAATGACTTGAACAGAGAATGACTTAGGGCCTAAGCCAACAGTTAAGAATTCTGTGTGTCTTGGTCTCAGCCTCCAACAGGAGACTAGAATAGTCCTCTCTGATGAAATAGGCCCAGGAGAAAATGTCCATGACCCTGACCTTTGAGGGTTTCTAGAAACACTTGCTCCCCACCCCCATCACTCCACAGTGAAGGGTTCTGCCACTCCTCAATCTTCCAGTGGCTTTTGGGGGGCCCATTTAAATATGAGTGTACACTCAGACATCAGTGGATGTTTGAAGAACATCTCTAATATGAAGATGAGCATGCAAGGAAAGCAGATGGCAAAGGTACTAGGGTAATAAATAAGTGCTAAGAATAGGAGGCTATGTTGAAACACCAGTGTCATCAGAGAGGTAGGAGATGAGGGAGCTCTTAAATTAGAAGAGAATGCTATTTTTAAGTCACATTTAAAAAAACTCAAACAGGCCGTCCCTGGTGGTGCAGCAGGTTAAAGCACAGCTCTAAGAAGCTAAAGCCACTTCAGCATGAGTTCGAACCCCCCTGCCCTGGAGGTGACCACAGGGAGGCAAACCTCTC